CCTTGGTGTAATCTAGTAAGTATGATTTCTTTTTAGCTCAATGATCTTTATGCAGGGTGATTGTTACATTGAGTTTCTTCCATCCTTTCCATCAGGTTTTTATTTCTTCACTGTTTCGTGGATATTTTTTTTTCCGTGGATATTTTTAATTTCTTTTAGCACTTAAGTTATTTTCCGATGTCTTCAAGATATCCATGAATTGTCTTCTTGAGGCAAAAGACAGTGCTAACTGTCTCGTTGGATTAGGTTTTTATGCTCTTGGTGAAAGAATGTATTCTCATTGAAAAGATCTTATTAGATTCAAATTTTCTGGTTGAAATCCGTTTTCCGACGAGGTTATAGAGCAGAGCTTGTTGAGCTGTTTGTGTACACTGTAGGTTCACCTTAAATTGTTTGCAATCTGTAGTTTCTTATTGGAATACGTAGTTTCTGCAATCGATTTGAATATTTTGTAGTTCCTATAGGATTTCTTCATTAAATAGTCAATGGCAAGGTTTTGGTTCCAGTTTTTGAGTTTTCTTGCTATCAAATAAGTTTTTTAGGTGGAGTATCTTTCTTCTGTCTATGATGAAGACCTTTTCCAAAATTCCCTGACCTTCTCTGTGCATTTAAGTCTCTTACAACTGTACNCTAGGCTTTTAACTTAGGCGCTGTGCTGGTCACTGTCACCTACTCGATGCTTTTTTCCTCACCTACAGGTTTTCTCACACAAAAAAATTATCTATAACCACTATTTTTTGCACATCTGACTATGTTAATAGTTAATCGCGAGTATAATTTCGGGTAATTCACTGTTAGAACATTTGAGTTTCACCGTCGCATCGGCGTCAAACGCCATATTATGGCTTTGTAAGTGCCTTTTTAGGGTCGGACCGTCTGGAGCGCACGTGTTGCGCACGTCCACTCCCGAAGGCTGCCCAAAACGAACTCCATGAGTATTAATTACAACGGTGTTGATAAACTATTCGTTTAGCTAACCAATATAAATCCACACAGCTTAAAATCCCAACAAATCTCTCCAACATCAATCTCTCTGACGAGTCCATTACAAACTTAATCCGACCTCTGATGGCTTCGCAAAACAATTTTTGCATATGTCAAGTGGCGGCACGATGACAATAACTCAGCGACGCCATTATCCATCATGGTGGAATGAACTGTCAACGGAAAGCGCGCGAAACAAAATGTAGTGGCGGGAAAACAGAAGTTTAATTATGAGGACTGTCGATGCTGCATCAACTTTGTATTTCGGATTTATTCAGGTTGTAGACAAGATATTTTTAAGTTTAGATGACATTTTATCTGTGATTGCGTTAAATCGTTTGGTATACGATACTTATCAACTTAAATCTGTCCTTTTCCTACGTTATATCATAAGTTGTATGAAGTAAACAGTAAGTAACAGCATATTTTCTTTCATAGAAATGAGATACTCAATCATGTTTTGACTTTTTTACCATTAATACCTTTTGAGAAGGCTTTATTACAGATCATTTGCGTTCCATGATGCGTGTCAAAAATATGAAGCGTGTGTGCACTTCAATAACTTTGGTTGAAAGGAATCTATTTTTTTTTAATGGCAACCATCTCTGGGAGGTTTATTTCTGCCAATGTCGAGTGAAAATTGACATAGTTATCAATAGAACGTGGGTGTTTCAGTTCTATTGATTTTTCATGGATTCCGTGGAGTTAAGTATGCCCGTAAGCAGGTTTCAAGACGCCACCGGGTCCAAAGCGGGTTGTTCATACGATAACCCACTCGACACTCGATGCGCGCTCAAATTCGAAGTATCTCAATGTTTTTTTATAATTTATCACTTCACTGCACTTTAGAACACTGCACTTTAGAACACAAAATAACACCAAATTTGTACACTAAAGTCCATTAAATAATAAATTGAAACCATTAAAACAGATCGACTATGCTTACAGTTCAACTACCCTCCACGGAATCCGAAAGGAATCTAATATTTTAAGCCTTTAATTGTCATAAAACTCTTCTAATGTCATTGACTTGCCCCAAAAACTCTCCAATCTTGCAATTTTTGGACTTCATTTTCCCTCAACCTAACCTCAAAGACCCTAAAGCCCACCGCACGCGTGCGACTTTTTACCCCGCACAATACGTCGGAAGCGTTACAAATCGCGACCACCGCTGCTTATATTGAGAAAGGATGTCGCGGCGCGTGGCGCTGATCTATGACGCTATTTGCAAGCGGTCGCGACTTTTTGCAAGTGTGCGGCATTTTTTTTTTGTAATGGAATAGTCGTGTCATCGGTTTTAATTGGAGCCACTATATTCATAATTCGATGGCTCCTACGTATAAGGGCGAAACTGCCGCTTACGCCTTTTTCCAATTATTTAAGCAATGATTTCACTTTGCTCTTATCTATAACATGAGTAAGAAAAAAAAAATTTTTTTCCATTAGATACAAAATAAATTTTTTGGCAAATAGGCGTATGTGCAAAACTACGCCACGTATAAAGCCCAATCATACGATTCGTCAATCTATACGAGTAGTTGCTTACATAAACATATATTTTTTATAATCCAAATCTTAAATAAAGCCATGAAAATATTTAGCAAATTGTTTTATTTATAAATTATGACATATTATATAGTTATTTAATTTTTAGCGTTAAGAGTCGCATCTCAAACTAATTTGAAAATTATAAATAACTTGAAAAAATCGAACTGCCTAAGGCATCGTGGGTTGAATTCCCGCCTTAGGCAATTCGATTTTTTCAAGTTATTTATATTTTTAGCGAGACAGACAGACAGACAGAGTTACTTTCGCATTTATAATATTAGTAAGGACTTGTCACACTAGATGCGGTCTGCGTTTTGCATAAAGTGAACAAATTCAATCATCGGTTCAGTGGTTTAGGTGTGAAAGCGAGACAGACAGACAGACAGAGTTACTTTCGCATTTATAATATTAGTAAGGACTTGTCACACTAGATGCGGTCTGCGTTTTGCATAAAGTGAACGCAGACCGCATCTAGTGTGACAAGTCCTTACTAAAATTATAAATGCGAAAGTAACTCTGTCTGTCTGTCTGTCTTTCACACCTAAACCACTGAACCGATTTTGATTAAAATTGGCATAGAGATGGTTTGTGTCCCGGGAAAGGACATAGGATAGTTTTTATCCCGGTTTTTGGAACAGGGACGCGCGCTATAAAGTTTTTCTGTGACAGACAATACTTCACGCCAATGAAGCCGGAAAACTAGGTACCTAATCATTAAATCGAGTTAAAATTAAGTTTGGTCTACTATAATCGACCATAGAATTTCGTACAAAGAGCGTTTAAAAGCACAACACGCATGTCATGCATACCTTTCGATTTCCTATACTTTCTCGTCCGTCCTAGGACAATACGTAGAAAGTTTAAAAGTAGACTTAACTACGATGACGGTAGTAAGTGAATGTTGAATGAGTTGTGGGTTTCATTCAATGTGTTTACTTTTCTTTTCTATTACGCCAAAAAAGAGTGGGTTGAACAAAATGTTTTTTCTGAACAAATGTTCCACCTACTTACTCTTCCCGTGGATGTCGTAAGAGGCGACTAAGGGACAAATGCGAACATCAGGCCTCCCCAACCCGTCTGGCCAGCGTGGGGAGTGTAGGACAAATCCTTCATTTGCCTCTGGTAAATTAGAGAGGGGCGCGCTCCTAAATAGGACTCCACTCTTCGTAAGAGGCGACTAAGGGACAAATATGCGAAAATCGGGTTTCCGAAATCTATCTGGCCAGCGTGGGGAGTGTAGGACAAATCCTCCATTTGCCTCTGGTAAATTAGAGAGGGGCGCGCTCCTAAATAGGACTCCACTCTTCGTACGAGGCGACTAAGGGACAAATATGCGAAAATCGGGTTTCCGAAATCTATCTGGCCAGCGTGGGGAGTGTAGGACAAATCCTCCATTTGCCTCTGGTAAATTAGAGAGGGGCGCGCTCCTAAATAGGACTCCATCGAACTGCCTAAGGCATCGTGGGTTGAATTCCCGCCTTAGGCAATTCGATTTTTTCAAGTTATTTATATTTTTTAAAAATATGACACATTATGTTAAAAGACCTAACTAAATCTCGAGCACAGTATATGGGCGTATTTGCGTTAAAACGTAAAACGGTACATTAAACGACTTTTTCTAACTGATTTATTATTGATATAGCACATGATAACAATTAAAATAATTACATGCATAAATAAAGAGAGTAATCGCTTAAAATATTATATTTACGTTGTCATTTAAGTCTCTTTACGTTGAACAATATACATGAAATTATAGAAATATGCCGACGTAAAAGGGCAATGCGTAAAATCTCAAAATATATAAGAAAAATATAAAAATTGGTAACAGCAGTAGCAAAAGCATTACATGTTAAGGCTAAATGTGAAATTTCATTAAATTCGTTTTAGTAGGTCAGAAGATATGACCCAAAAATATGGTTCTGGCCACTAAAATGGCTCTCCTGTAAAATTTACTTTTTTCACTTACGCCAGTATACGTAGGAGCCATCGAATTATATTTATGTATTTGGAACGATCATAAATGTGCAGTTTTCCAAATTGTTTGCTTATTAGCTGTGCAAAGCTGCAGTTGTTGATTCTTTCCTAACATTAGTCATAGAGTCAAAAAGTCAATAGTGAGACCATCTATCCCTAAATCTAAGATCCTGTGTTCAATTTCCAATGGGAGCCAAATCTATTCATTTGATTAGTGGTAGGGCTTTTCTAAGTCCACCACTATATCGCAAAAACAACATTATCAAAGCATTGAGATTTGAGATTAAAATAGCCAGGTGGCTAGCCGATGGTTGACGATTCCAGATGAGGCTTACTTCCACCTTCAGCCTGATCTTCACTTTCCATATTCAACCTGATCGTCACTATCGGCTGCCTAAAAATCTATAGTTTGCAGGGTGTCTTAACCCCGTTACATCTATGCTTGTGTTTCTCCTATGTACATTGCGTTAAGAATATTTCATTGTCATCAGGATCGTTCGCAACAAGGCGGCGGAGAAAGCGAAGCACGCACATCACCAGCAGCAGCAGCAGCAGCAGGAGCAGGAGATCAGCTCGGCGCAGGGCAGCGTTGTTTCTGTGAGTACAACAAAAAGAAATAAAGATGAAATAAATAAATGTGAGTAAAGATACAGACGACAGCACGTCAAGCCAAACTGAGGTTTTTGCAGTTGTAAAACAAGTGACATCGCAACAAAAAATCATAGTCTGACGTGCTGTCTTCTGTGCTGACCTTCCCATGGCCATGGTCTACCTTATGGTTATTCCGGGTTGAATCGCGGGAGATGTTGCTTTCAACCGCGCCACACTTCTTCGCTCCTTACAAATTCTTGACTCTTCGTCCATGTCCATAAAGTGCGACTCCCTTTTGGGGCTGCAACGATCACGTAACTGGGCACCCTATTGTGCCAAGCTGGTCGAACAGGTCCTCCTTTTACGCCACTTGTATTTGCAAGGTACAGATTGTCGTCAGATATTTGTTGAAAAAGCTTGCACTGTAAGGACTGTCTGGAAAATTATTAACCCTTTATAAGTTACTACTAACCGACCTATCCTACTAAGTGTGTGATTCATTTAGTTAGAAGAAAGAAAGAAAAATAATTATTTAGTCCAAAACAATTATTACAATTTTACAGTTCAAAGTATTTGTACATGTTTGAACCAAAATGGCATCCGCTCAGCATTGTGTCCTGCTCTGAGGTAGACCCCAGAACAGGACGCTGTTATTCTGCGGCGGCCATTGTGTTTCCCTAGAAATGTGTTTCCCTATGACGAGTCAACTGTATGGCAAATCAGTAACCTTTTAAAGCTTACAAATTAACTTACTCTCTCAGGTAATAACCCACGCGGGCAACGCGCCCGGCACCACCGCCGTGCTCTCCCCAAGCGCGGAGCAGCACGTGCCTAACACCGGCAGCTACAGCATCAACGGCATCCTCGGCATCGAGCAGGTGGACGCGCTGCACGGCGCCGGCCTCAAGCGGAAGCGGCACGAGGACCAAGGTAAGAGGGAGACGGCAAGAGGGAGAAGGCAAGAGGGGAAATAGGGCTTGCATCAAGGTTATACCACAACGGTGCCACCAGCTGAAAGAGGTAGAATAGTTTAAGAGTGAGGCACGAAAGGTTTCTCGGTCTTTGGATCACATACGAAACCACCACCGGAATAACAAGAGACATGAACAAGTACTAAAGTAAGAAGAATTCAGGCATAAAGGCTTGGATCAAGGTTAGGACTCTTGAACGGCATCACCTGCTTGAAGACAAAAAAGTATAATGACCGAGATAATGAGAGAGGATTGAAGCATTAAGGTTATACATGGTTTAGATCAAGGTTACTTACAATGAGTTGACTGCAAAGAAAGACTAAGATGGCAATGTGAGAATGAAGGAATTAGAGGCATTCGATCAAGACACTAGAGAAGGTTAAGAATGAGGTAGTAGAATCATGTGCACATGAAGATTTGAATAGCATGAAGGGAGATAAGAATATGAAAGACACAAAAGCGCTCGGGTCTTGACAGTCGTCCTCTCCCTAAGCGCGGAACAGCACGTGCCTAACACCGGCAGCTACAGCATCAACGGCATTCTCGGCATCGAGCAGGTTGACGCGCTGCACGGCACCGGCCTCAAGCGGAAGCGGCACGAGGACCAAGGTACGTGGATAATAAGGGTAAAGAGACTTCCAAAGACGATGACAATGTGTGCAAAAAGAAGGGACAGCTCCTCAACGACATCACTGATCTAAAGAAGAGGAAGCATAGGGTGATCAAGGTTATTCTACAAGGGCACCATCAGCTGAAGGAGGAATAATAGAAGAAGAACTCCTTATTCCTCACCAGCTATAAGATTGCAGAGAAAACCTTGATCCAAAGATCCAGGTAGCTCTATAACGACACCACTGTCTGCAGAACAAGAGGTATGAAGACCAAAGAAGGAGAGGTGAGGCATGGAGGCTACATAATAAAACGGCTCTGCACTGTCTTCCCTGAGTAAAAGATAAAGAAAAAACCTGAAAAAAACAACTTCTTTTGGTTTTTAGTAGTGTCAAGCATTAATAATGGTGTTTTTTCTTCCAGCCAATGTTTCTAGAGTATTGTCAGCTATACATTTAGGAGGTGCTTCTAAACCATTTTGCTCATAATTCATCCCAATTTTCCAGTGCTCCAAAATCCTTTAACCTAATTGATCAGACCATAAAATTTAACTAACTTTCGAGATTCTCGGAAAACTGTGAAACGCGCCCCCCGGGGGCACTCTATCCAATAAAGTCTTAGAAGAAAACTTGTAAGTAATGTTAGTAGAGAACATACTAGCAGGCCCCCGTTGAGCGCGGAATGAGGAGCGGTAGGGATGTGCAGGTTATCGATGTTTGACTTCCCATATCGATACCTGGGAAAAAGGAAAAAGTAATGTGTGTTTTGCAAGCCTCTGACTGATGCCAAATAATGGGCAGTTTCTAAAATAAATAAATATTTGAAATAAATTTTATGTTTATTGGCCTAGATTTATTTTAGTAACCATCAATCGCACTCGCCACTTTAAATGACAATATCTATGCGTGTTGAGTGTTGTAATTGATGTCATTAGATTAAAAAAGAAGACTGCTTTGCTTGTTAAATTAGCAGTTTGCATGTCATTGTACGTTTTTAAAATAAATATATGACTGTCTCACTCACTACACTCATTTTACAAAATTATTTTTTTTCTAAATTAAGATAAACAAATTAATCAAGAAATAAAACTGAAAGTGCTAGTTTCCTTTTTTCTTTACTGTACTTGTAAATCGTCGATAAAACCACAAGATATCGATATAATTACCGACCTTTTCACATCCCTTCTTTCAGTCCTGTTCAACCCGCGGAACCCGAGAGATTTACTGTGCTATTAAATTAACTGCAATCGCTAAGAAGTTATTATTATAACTTCCAACCGATGACTTTTTAATGATGTTGGTTAAAGGGGCTTTAGGAAATTATTTTGAAAAGGCTATAGATTTTTTCAACGAGACGAAGAGGGTTCAGAATTTCCATAAAAGTCATGTTCATGTACTCGTAGATTTGTCAAATTCACTACAAAATCATTATGGTTATAGTTACGGTTAAAGTAAGGTGGTGCAACTAAGCCTAAGAATGTTACCACTTATCGCAAAATCGGCCCAATTCTTCTTCTTCCTCGGTCCCTCACTGATGAGGATCGCGACCACATTAGTGTTCCTCCACAGACTGCGGTCATAAGCTGTGTGGACCGCACGATGCAAACTCCCGCCCACCGTCTTTCTCACCGCGTCTGACCATCTCGTCGGTGCCCTGCCCCGAGCACGTCTGCCTTCCATTTGTCCCAATGAAATAACTGAAAAAATACATGTTCGAACAGATAGTATGTAAAATCATTATTAAATCATACTATATTATGTAGTACCTATAATACGAGTATATTTTGCAAGTCATCCTAACTTTCAGTTTTACATATTTGTTACTGTGTCAGAATAAAGGACGGTGACCTTTTGCGATTTAGCGTAGCCTTGATAGAGTCAGACCTAACCTAACTAATAGTCAGATAGACTGTAAAATGAATTTTATGTACATGGATAAATAATTGATAATGTGTAGTAGGATTTTCATGGGACAGGAGGCAAACGAAAGGCTTACGGAGTAAACGATTTATGCCCGTTTTCACCATCAGTCCCTTATTTTAAGTGACCCTTATTACCATAATAATACCAATACACAGAACAGGAATTTTGTTTATATAGGAGTCACTTAAAAATTAGGGATTGGTGGTGAAAAGGGGCATTAGACTCTCGATCCAAGGGTAAGTTCTGGGCTCTATACTCGGATGGATTTTCATCCTGAAAACTGAAACGTATCCTTTACGTATGTCTTCACCACCTTATCCTGCGCCTAGACTACGAATTGAATATAAATGATTTAAAAATATCTCCAGCCTAGGATGTGCATCATGATAAAATCTTAATGACAACTTTAGTCGAAATATGTATGGGCTTATCGTGCAAAATCGATAAAAGTTTGTCGTGGCGCGCATCCTATATTTAATTTTGTTGTAGTATGTTTTTCATGATAGAGCTATTTTAAAGGGATTTTTTTGTTTCAGACGAGAACCGAGACTTCAACAACCATTCAGAAGACGATGTTAAAAGACAGCGGAGTCATTACAATGGCGACCAAATATATTCTAATGTGAGTAAAAGTGGACTTCAAAGCCCACTATGTTCTTAAACATATTCACATGAAATACTTAGGTACAACGGTTTCGCTTGTGCAAACACATTCTCACAAACATGAGCTACTAATTTGGAAGAAAATTGACACATAATTTTACACTTTGGAAAAAATCATACGCCTACCAAGTACTGTCAACAACACATAAGATTTTACACCTTAATATTGTCCACACCAAGAGTCACTGAATTAAGCTGTGGGTAGAAGTACAAATAAAGCAAACCGTTAGTAAGCCTTTCCTATTTACTAGGGAACTCAACGGAAGTAATTAAACTGATCTGAATTGCAAGATCATTGCAATAACTACAAGATGCATGGTTCATGAAATAGTTTTTCATACAACATTTTCTCGTAAAACTATTCGCAAAGTCGGTATTTGTTAACTTTATATCTCGTTGCGTTAATTTCGGTTTAATCATGGCGGCCGGAAGCGCGCGTCCCGCCATTTGTCTTCGCAAGATGGCGGCCAGTTTACGCGCCAATTCGCGCCAGATTACAGCTGGTCTCGATTAACGGTTGTTATTATCTCCTGTTAATTAGGGATTCGTTTTGCCTTTAGTTTGTTAGTTCTGATTCATTTTGTGGTACACGTAGTCAAAAAAGAATATGGACTTAGAGTAGGCGCACACCGTTGATTTTTAGTTGACCAATAGTTGTGCCCGATTTTAAATTGTATGAAGAATCGGCCAAATCGAATCGGCGTAGTTTGCGCACTCCCATACATGCCCATACTGATCAACTGCCCGATTAAACTATCGGCCGACGAAAAATCAACGGTGTGCGCCTACTCTTACCAAGGCTTAGCAGATTACTGTGTCAATTTCAAGTGACATCATTAGAATAGTAAATTAAATATTATGTAGTAAAATGTTTTTAGTTTCATAATTATGTAATGTAAATGTACCAAGAAAAACTGTGGGGTTTAGCCAAGTCCTACGTGCTTCGCCTAAATTAAAACGAATTAATCACTTCTTTCTACAAGATTTTATTTGATTAAATTCTGGATTGATAAACATAAAAATGCTTGTTGCATAGAATTGCGAAATTATCACTTCTCTTCACATTCAAAAATTTACAATCTGCTTGCAGGTATCTGCTTCATTCAAAGTTTTTAGTTGTTTGTGTTCATTAGTTAACCAATTAAAGGTACAGCCTTATTAAATAATGTATTTTTCACCAGCAGTTATGGTCGTCATCGAAATGGAGCCTCAAGGACGAGTACAAGCTGCTATCCGAGCTGGGCGGCGCGGCGGGCGGCGCGACCGGCTACTACGGCGAGCTGTTCGACGCGCCCTACGAGCACGCCGCCCACCCGCACTACACGCCGCACTCCGGTAAGTACTAGAATGCATAGTATACTAGCGCACTTAATAGCGTCCATACTAGCGCTCTCTGGAGCCCCAAGGCTCAGTGCCTACGACGCGCCGCCCATCCGTAAGTAGCGTCTATACTAGCGCATGTAATAGCGTCCATACTAGCGCTCATTGGAGTCCCCAGGATGAGTACTAGCTCAGTAGCGCGACTGTCTACGAGCACGCCGCCCACTCGCACTATACGCCACTCTCTGATAAGTAGCGTCTATACTAGCGTGCGTACTAGCGCTGAAGCGTGCTAGTGTAGGCTTGAATCAACGATTCCGTACTTCGGGTCATTGTTGTATTCAATGAGTATCCTTTAGTGTAGGTAAATTTAACCAATGTGTAGCGCAAAAAGTAATTGTTACATGTATAGTATTATTTTTATAATCCAATATTACGAGTATCTATGACAAAGCAAGTTTACTAAACATAACACCGACCAGTCAAGACTAGTAACTGTCGCGTGACCGATACTAACAACCAGTTACGTACACCCCACTTAACATTTCTGCAGCCAACTTAACGGGGGGTTAACAAATAACTAATACAAATAACAGTTTTAAAATGATAGCCATCCTCGACAGGCGACCGCCCACTTCCTCTGAATCGTGACTCTATAGTAACGGATATAAGAAGCTGTTATTGTACAATTGTCACTATATTTTTATCCCTATTGCATTGTTTTAAGTCCCTAATGAAAAAGATTTACTGGTTTTGCGTGTTAAATGGTTAAATCAATACAGAGTGTTTGTAGTTGTACAGTATTTTGGAGTTCTGGAACTTTTCTGAAAAACCATTATGGTATAAGTAACCGAATTAAAGTTTCTGTATAGCGTCTGTGACGTGATGTTGATGTCAAATTAACTAGGTACTTCTATTACTAGTATATTATTTAATAAAAGTCGTCTTCTAAAACTTGTATTTTAACGAAGATTTGTGTCTTAAGAGATTCAAACTGATGACTTTCGTGGTTGGTCCCACCAGACAAATCACAAAAATTCAAATTCAGCTTGTCACAGATTGTTATTAATTCTAACCTATTGGTTGTGATCATGAAACAATAATACTGTAAAGTTTAATCAAAATCCATACAGCAGTTTTTGCGTGAAAGAGTAACAAACATACATCTTCATAAACTTTCGCTATAAATTAGTAAGATATTAATAGGATTATTGTAAAAAAACTCTCCCAAACCATACGGAACACGCATCCCATGCGGCTCTATCTTCACCTCCAAGTGACTATGGTTTTCCATAACCACCATCACCACACCATCATTAGTCACGCCCTAAAACGCTGCGGTGTCGCGGTGTTCTATGGCATTCTGATGGTCTAACTGTTTTTGGATGCCTTCGTTGACACTGTGGTGTTTTAGAGTCTGTGGTTACTTATTGTTTATTATTTTTAACCGACTTAAAAAAGGAGGAAGTGTTCCAGTGTTTGTATTTTTTATGATGTGGAAAAATGCAGTAAAATAAACTGAAAGGTTGTGTTCATGTGATCATAGATCCTTTTTGGCATGGCTACGACAAAAGCTTTTACAAAAGTTCTGCAAAAACTTGTTTTTACCCAATTAAACAAACTTTGATAAGGTCTTTTACGTGTACCAACATAATTATGTAAAGCACTTAAACAAGACCTTCGAATAATTAATTATGATGTAGACTATAAAAATGTGGACTAAATAAGCTTTAAGAGCCATTTCACAAAAATATTCCGCGCGAATTTAGGTAAAAGCTGTCAACGCAACGTCAAAAGAGTAAAAAGAACGCTGAAATGGACAAAAAAATCTTGAGCCGTGACCGTATTAAGACTTGATTTAAGTTATTAATTTTAAGGTAGAATGAGGTATTCAAACTTGATTAATTAATTTAAAATTTTAATAGAGTTTATTAAGTCTTTTATATTTCGATTCATAATGAAACACGAATAGGTATAATATGTGAAATATACAGGGTGTTTAAATGGGTATATGAGCCGACACTAGCCCATGTCAACGTGGGCATATAAATGGTATGGTGAAGTCAGAAAATTGATATCTTCATTTTAATTATTTAAATTTTCATACAAATCGGATTTTATAAAATTTATTTTGTATGACAATTAAAAAAAAATTAATGATGATATCAAATTTCTGACTTCACCATACCATTTATATGCCCATGTTAACATGGGCTAGTGTCGGCTCATATACCCATTTACCTAACACCCTGTATATTAAGTACAAAATAAAGACAGTCACATAGTGAAAAATAAATCTGCCCCCTTACAGCTCCATCATCGGACCCTGGATACAAATAATGAAACACGAATAGGTATAATATGTAAAATATATTAAATACAAAATAAAGACAGTCACATAGTGAAAAAAAAAATCTGCCCCCTTACAGCTCCATCATCGGACCCTGGATACGAAATATTCGTCAAGGCGAATCACACAAGCCTTAACTCCATAGGGTTCTATTGTTTTGTTACGGAGGTGGCCATTGCATCTTCTCCAGATCCATTATCAGACAGAGCTAAGAATTATATAAATAAATATTATTATAAGTAAACAAATAACTAAAATAATTCATCTTACTATCTTACTTTTTACTAGTCTTACTAATATTATAAATACGAAAGTTTGTGTGGATGTCTGGATGTTTGTTACACTTTCACGCAAAAACTACTGAACAGATTTTGATGAAACTTTACAGTACAGTACAGCAGTACTAGGCAGTCTGTGTTCAACTATCACTCGGGTCGGACGTTCCTATCGCAAGACCTTTGGTTCACTCAGTTCCGATACGACTCTAGTGCTGTGTGTAATTATTTTCGT